GCATGGAGCAGGATCCTGGGGCACTCTTGTGGGTTTTGCTGGGGGAATTGCATAGCCCTGTGTCTTGCTGCTTTCTGCGCTAGTACTGGGTTCAATAGCCATACCTCAGGGTAAAATTTGTCCTTCTCTATCTGGGTAAAATTTATGGAGCAACTTGGATGCTTTCACGTGTTACCAACCAGTTTGCCAAGATTAGGCCAGGCTTACCTCTGCTCCTAGGGTCTGATGCTTAGTAATTAGGTAGAGTGCCATTTGTTGCTAAAGATGAGTCTGCAGACAGGGACAAGCATTGCTAGAAGGCTGAAAATGTTGTTTTGATGTGTTTTCAGATGTTTAACAGTGAATTTCACACTGTGAGAATTACCTGGAGCTCTAGCTTTTTGTTAAATATATAAAGAAGCCGGCAAAGAAAAAGATTAAAAATTAAAGCTATATTCAGTGTGTGGAGCTCGTGGGCTAACAGGAATGAAGAGGCCAGAGCCACTAGTCAGACTAGCATATAGAGACAGGGTGGTGCATGTATGTGGCCCAACAAAAAGGAAGACCCAGGGAGATCTGAAGAGGAAACAACATGATTACCTTTTCCCTGGAGGAAAAACTGAAAATACATAAACGCTTTTTCCAATTTGCCCTTTTTATGACAGCAGACACCTGACTTGTCATGCAGTGCTGCATGGCCCCACGTGATGGAGTGGAGAAAGAAATGGGAGATGATGGGTGGGAGGAGGAGGAGGAGGAGGAGGAAACTGAGGTTCTGTGGACAAGGGAGCCTGTGAAGTAGCCAGTGTGAAGAGACCTCCTCAAGATGCCTTAGTGGGAGGCAGAGGTCCTGCTAGAAAAAGGTTTCTACGAAGTTCTGGAAACCCGCTTGCTTGATGCTCTTAAGCCTTCTCCAAAAATGCTGGAAATGTTAGAAACCTAAATTTTCAGCAGTGGGACTTGGAATTAGGGAGATGCTTGAAGTTTCCACATGGCCATTAGTGATTGTTTCAAGGGGAGAACCAAACCAAAATATCTCCTTGCAATAAAACAGCTCTGAATTTTTGTTTGAAGAATTTGTTTTTGGAGCAATAGCCTTTTGTTGTGCTGTGGTAGCAAATTGCAAGCTTGGAATCCTGGAGATCAGAAACAAGCCTCTGAGTAGCATTCACAGCTGGTGAATGTATTTTAAAATTGTCCATTTAACCCAAGGCTGTTACACTGAATGTTTTTTTAGCTCATATATATTTAGTTACATATGTGATTATCTTTGGCCTTCCATAGGCAGACAGCCTGTATGAATTGCATGCTCCCTATTGATGGAGCAGAATGAGCCTTAGCTTCTGTTACCTCGCTAGCAGTAGTGTACTAGAAATTTCTGATTCAGAAATAGGTCTTCTATGAATGATTTAACATCAGGACATTGAAATGCATTTCTGCTTTCCTTCTTATGGCTATTAAAGACTTAGAGAAAACATTTAATACTAAATTAATGTTGCATTTTTGTTTTAATCTTGCAAAGTGGGTTGATTTATATCTCAAAATATGTACTACAGAGAGGAATTAAAATACACTTTTTTCAGTGGTACTTAATTTTTTCATGCAAATATTTTCAGCTAGATTTTGGCATATTAATGCATTGAGTTCTACTTTTTTCATTAATCATTGCATAGCTGTATTTCGTCCTCTGGAGTTCACAGCTTGCTTATATTCCTATGTTGCTGGAGACGCTTGTCTGAGGCCTGAAATAATCAGGACATTGGGACCACGCAGAAAGTGCAGGGGCTCTTCCCCCGTCCCTGCCTCATGTGGGGATGGAGAAGCAGAGCGGTGACGGACTGACTGCAGTCTCCAGGGTGAGGTAGCCTTGGCTGGACTAATCAGAAGAGAAAGAAATGGTGCACTCCTACATGCAGATGGGAAAGAAGAAGGTGAGATTAAGTGACAGAGTGGAGATTTTACACAATAGCGGCTGCTCGGATAGAATCTGGTCGCCTCTCCCTTGAGAGTTATACACAGATAAGCAGCCTTAGCTCATTAACACCTGCCTTCCTCTTGCCAGCTGATGATTGCTTTAGGTTTGACAGCAGGCAGTGATGGCAGGACTTGTCTGATCCGGGCTACGGTACTGAAAACACAGTATATCCTACAGTTGGAGATGTTGGATGATGTTTGCTTTGTTGGATCGTATTCCTCATAGTGTTAAAAGCACTCAGGGTGTGAAAGAAATGGTGGGAATCACTGGATTTAGTTTGTGAACAAATGACCTTTTCCTCTGCTTTTTCTCAGCAACACAATTTTTGGAGTTTGCAATGGGTATGAGCTAAGCTTTGTTTACTCTGTAGGGCGTGATGGTTGTTGAAAATATTGAAAAAGAAGCTTGATTTTTTTATACAGATTTTCAGTATGCTTTTGAACTAGGTCATTAATGATGCTACTGCAACCCCATAGTCATTGCAAACACCAAGCTCCCTGAAAACGCACGTTAGATGCTCCCTAAACATTGTTGAGAATTAAACTGTGTGTTATTATCACAGAATCACAGAATATTTAAGGTTGGAAGGGACCTCTACAGATCATCTAGTCCAACCTTCCTGCTCAAGCAGGCACACCTAGAGCATGTGGCACAGGGTGGCATCCAGGCGGGTTTGGAAGACCTCCAGAGTAGGAGACTCCACAACCTCCCTGGGCAGCCTGTTCCACTGCTCTGTCACCCTCACAGGAAAGAAGTTGCTCCTCACCTGGAGACGGAACTTCTTATGCT